ACCGCGCCGTGCGTATGTATCCCGTTCAAAGCAATCCTGATCGTTCTCGAACACTAACGCGCTGGTCCGGCTGGTCGGTTCTAGCCGATTCTAGCTTGATGGCGTCAGCGGCAGATCGCTCACCGCAACGTTGCCGCTGTTTATGTTTAATATTATGACAATTAGATCTTTTTGTGGAATTTTCGGAAGCTTCTCTGATTTTTGCAGTTTGTATTTTTTAAATTAAAATCGTTATGAGAGCTACCAGAATTGTCTCCGCGAGCTACCGGTAGCTCGCGATCGACAGGTTGGCGACCACTGCTGTATATAGACCTTTGCCATAAAAACTGCGTTATCATGCATTTTCAAATAAACTATAACCAGCTTTGTAATAAAGCCCTTTTCGCGGCCACAATATTTATATTCTCTGTTCACTGTTCTATTTTATGTACCTACGTCAGGAAGCCCTAAAAATATGTGCTTGCCCAGCATTTTTTCCAGCAACCGTATACACTAAAATCATATCCGCCAGTTCAATATAAGTAAATTTCTTTGTAAAAAACACTTCACACTTCACACTTCATGACCAGTACCGTTTACTTTCATTCCTGTCCATACAAAAAGTTTGTTTCCACAGCGAATATTTATGAATGTCACTGAAGTCAGAATTCTCCTAGCATAGAATTGAGTAGTCCCACTAACAACTACGCAATATTCTTACTTAAGTGACTTATTTCTTTCTTATCATATATCTATACAAATCTAGTACCTAACAAAAAAAATATACTGCCAATACTGTCTGAGATTTAGAGTAGTTATTTTGTCTTATTTTGTGAAGTTATATATTAAAGTGTTCTGTAATCATGGTGATCTGTTTATGTTTATTTAAAAATTGTATATACAATTATAAAATTAACAGTCGATTTTTTAGCATTCTCCCCTACACCTGAAGATACGTTTAAAGTACAGACAGACAGTGTGACTCTTGATTTAACATGCATTTTCAAAATTTAATAACCCCTTCAGTAATTTATCAATATTTTTAATTAACTTCTTACCTTTAATTCCACCAATTTCCACCTTTTCGAGCTTATTAAATTCCAAAACCGTATTAAAAAACCATTGGATCGTATTCAGTCTTTCCAAAAATGCGTGAAATCTTTCGAACACCAAATTAGGATGGAAATTCCACGGTTCCCGACTGGGATCAGAACAAAAGCGTGATAGATTTTTTTTGTACCACTTGAAGATAGTAATAAATTGCTTCAGAGCTTTCACGCAATAATTGACTCTTTGCATCGCTTCATCGATATCGCTTTGGAAGAGGGTGGTGGGGTCCAAGAATTTCTTGGCCTAAAATAACATTTAAAAATCGAGAGTGATCAAATCAGGAGAACGTGGAGGTCACGGAGACAATATTTATGGAGTTGACTTTTTTCTGTAATATATGTTACGTTATAACTGAAAATCATTATATAAAAATAATTACCTCTTGTATTAGTAGATTACAAATTTGCTTTAATAGAATGATTAGTTTCGGCTGTTCAAAGGATTTACAGTTGGCCCAAATTAATACTATGACGTGCACTGTAGGTGCAAAAAGGACAATGTTTTCGCTGAAATCCGTTTCTTCTAGGGCCTTAATGTGCTTCTTTAAAGGCGATAAGTAGTAATTAATATCTTGGGCTTCTGCCAGACCCAAAACTGTGCTCTTGAAGGTATTTTTAAAGCAGTTAAAATAAGCGCTGTTAGTTTTTTCCAATACGCTCGCCATACTTTTAACTTTCGGTTCTTTTAGCTGTTCGTAGATGTATTGGAGATTTTTTTGGCGTTTGTTCCAAAATTCTATTTCTAAAAGTAGAGAAATTTTAGACAATTCGTTTTTTGGTTAACAAAGTACAAGTGAAGTAATGCGCTATGGAGAAGAAAAATCTCAGTTTTACCCATTAGTGATTAAATTGACGGTTTAAAGACTCCTGCAAAGCCATGAATTTTGTATTTGTTAAGTGGAGGAGAGATGCTTACCCCCACCCACATCAGATAGGCCTCACCAAGCCCATTGTACATTCTTCAGGACCTTAAAGGACTTGCCTCTCAGCTCGACAAACTCCTGCAGAATAATAACGTCGCCAAGAGGCGTCGCTGGATATCCCCATTCTTTGGAAGTGGTCATTTGGTGGTTATTACCACATTTTTTCAACTACTATAGTGGCCTCTTCCTGTTGCTAAGAAAGGGTGTAATGGTCACAGAATTACAAAGCGAGGTAACAGAAAGTATTCTGCTGAGGTTCGTTTATTAGTTTTTTAAAAAATCTAATATTTTATTATTTGTTGGTGTTTATATTTTGGTTTTTGAACTATTTTCCAGTGTTGGAATTTTTATAATATTGGACATTTTAACTTTTTGGAGAGAGCCGAACTCGGATCACATTCTAAAGCTGTTTGCATTTCATTTTTCCCTTTATCAAAAAGCGACCATTTTAAAAAAATATGGCTGCAGTGTTGTTTTAGAAAATGTCAGATCAATGTTAAAATTGTGAAAATATTCAGTGTTCATTTTAGAAAAGAGAATTTTATAGATATTCGGATGAGAATCATAGACGTTGAACCTAAACCTAAAAACCTGAACCTAAAAGGCAAATGGTAAGATTTTAGAATATTATTTCGCAATTATCATTCATAATTAAATTAATTGCAGCTTCACCTATCCTAGATTTAAAAGCAAATGAGATGGTTTCTTACAAGCATAGACCACGACCCAGTGCAATAAATCAAATGGCTTTACCAAAAGAACGTAAATTATTGACAAAAAGAATTTGCTACAGAAAGTTATTAGTAAAAATGAGTTACAAATTATTTTAAAGTGAAAACAAGAGCCTCAATACTTCAGAAGAAATTTATAAAACATTTACTTTAGTATATTTGAGTAGAAAATGCCATCTTTACCTCGGAAATGAAAATATAAACACCATTAAATAATAAAACATTACATTTTAAAAAATACAAAGCTTTATGTCACCACGCCTTGTAATTTTGTGACGTCACACCCTTTCTCGGCAACAGGAAGAGGCCACCTTAGTAGTTTACGAGCCGTGAGCTTCTACCACCACGATGGTAGGGTCCGATTACAATTAGGCATTCCAAACTGAATGGCTACCAGTGGGTTCTGACGGGTTATGATATGGCAAAATTATGGCAACCCTGTAGGCCTGGTGATTTGACAAGGTCAATGAAATAGATAGTTACATAGATTGATCATCCATATTTTTCAAAATAAACATAAGCTTATGCCTTGAACTAAAAATGTAAGCAATTATTTTTTTTAAATATGTAAAGGCAAAAAATTGGTTTTAAAACACATTTTTGCTAAACCGATTCAAATTAGTAAATATTTGCCAGGCAATATGGCCGCTCGTAAACGACCAGCTTTGAGCAATCTATATAACTATATATGTATCATTTGCCCTGTTAATGACAACATGACAACAGGGTTGCCATATCTAAACTGTCATTACCCACTGGTAGCCATTTGGACAGGTCGTTGGAATGCCTAATAGAGGACTTCTATACAAGGGAAGTGCAACCAACTTGACAAAATAAAATTGACACTAATGACATAAGAAATCGGGTCACATAAAGAGGCTGTTTTTTAGTTTGATTTTTGGTTTTTCCTATCTACTTTCATGCCATTTGCATACCTTGTTGTACCCGTAACGTGAGAAAGACTTTTTATTTTAGGGTATTTTACATTTAAAGGTTGAAAACATTTGTCAATATCAGCTGTCGATAATGTCAAAACATAAGCATAGCATTGCATTTTATTTTTTGTTGTTATTAGTCTAAATGTGTTTCTCCTGCTTTCTTGAAACATTATTTTTCATTTGGTTTTATTTATTTATGTCGATTGCAAAATGCTGCTGCTACGAATACAAGTTCTATAAAATATACAACCAACATACAATACTAATTACGTTATGCCCATCTATGGTTACGCCTGTGTTCTATCATCAACATAATTGACAGCTGACAATGACAAAATATTTCAACCTTTAAATGTAAAATACCCTAAACTAAAAAGTCTTTTTCACGTTACGGGTACAACAAGGTATGCAAATGGCATGAAAGTAGATAGGAAAAACCAAAAATAAAACTAAAAAACAGTCTGTTTATGTGACCCGATTTCTTATGTCATTAGTGTCAATTTTATTTTGTCAAGTTGGTTGCACTTCCCTTGTATAGAAGTCCTCTATTAGAAGAACACAGGCAAAGTAATTAATTGGTTATCGCCGCCTACTGGTGGTTTAGTGGAGTGTTAATATTATAGGAATATAGGAATTCTTTTTTAAAACCAAACAATGTACTTATTTTTTATTTTAAGGTAGTTATAGATAATATGTATTCAAAATTCAAAGTAATGGTTATTACGTAGCTGTGCTCTTCTAACTGTAATCGGAATCTAAATGCCTACAGACCTCAAAGTTAAGAGTTATTTCTCTAATTAGTAAACGTAGGTAAGTATACGAGTATTACCAAAACAATTACTCCAAATAATCAACCTAAATTTCGTTGACTACGGCAGCTTAATTAGCATAATTAATTTAATAACGAAATTTTATATATCATGATCTTTAGAGCGTTATCCGTGTACTGAAATTGACACAAAAGTTTTCGGGCTTATTTTTTAAGATGTTTTAATAAATTTTTTTGAATATTATGAGATCATAGATAATTGCGCTATGGGGTACACATTTAAATCTCTGTAATTACTGAAAATCGAAAATCTATTTAGATATAACCGAGAAAATAAATATGAAGCAGTGATCTTAACTTAATTCTCCTAAATTTACCAATGGACATATCAAAATATAGTAAAAATCAAATAAAAATTTATAATACATGTTTTAAACCCCTAAGAATGAAAAAAATTGAAAAAATATATGCATTCGAATCTACCAATGTATTTTTAATTTTCGTTTAAATACCCTAGGCCTACGTTGATAACGTTGAGAGTTCGAGGCGTTAGCACGGTATTGCAGGTTCGAATCTTACAATTCTTAACATAAAAAAACAAAAAAATTACCAATAGTTGGTACAGGATTTACAATAGATGGATTCTTCTCCGTGGAATTATTATCTAAAACATCGTTTATCTGCGTTGACCATTTTATAACAACGGCTTCTATGGCACTCTTCAGGTACAAATCACAAATTTCTCCATTGCTTTCCATTAGAATTCTTTCAACTTCGAAAATTCTATCGACGCCTACAGGCATTGGTAGGACAGTTTGTCCGCTAACTTGCCCTTTTACTTGGTATACCGTGCTTTTTAAACTGTGGACGTGTCTGTGGACGTCCTTAGCTATTACGGCTGGCCATCCCTTGTGATTTTCAGGATTTGATAGTAGTGGTACTAAAATCTAAATAATGATATTTAAAATTTAGTTATTAGAAACGATAAGTAGGATTTAATAAAGTTTGAAATGCTTATAAATTGAGGATTCTAATATTTGGAATATTTTCAGTCCTTTACAATGGTACCTAAGTATATATTTTTGTCTGTAAAGAAGCCTTATTTTACTGACATAACTATATCACGGTTTAAAACTACACACCTATAGTTAATGACAGAAAAATAAGTTCAGGGTCATAGACAATAATACTTTTTTACTTTCCTATCTGTATACAGATATATTATTTTTGTTTCTAGATTTTTAGGAGGACTAATTACGTTTTGCTTTTACAATTATTATTCTTAAAGTAATAAGGTATTGATTTACGACTGTCTAAATTTAAAAAAAAATTACCGATAAATATCTAAAAGGTGCATGTTTTAGTAATTTTCTTAGAGCATGTCATTTTCAAATAGGAAATTTTTATTGTAATAGCGAATTGACATGATAGGTTTTATTTATGGAATTTTGTGACACTAATTGGCAAAGGTAAAAATTATGAAGACTAGTCAAGAATCGTAAAATAATTTGAAACAAGTAAATAAAAAATAAAACTGAATTAGTAAAACGTATGAAGACTAAAGATGAGGAGGCGAATCGACATACACGAAATACGATCCCAAAAAACGAACGCTAATTGAGCTTTCTTAATTCACCGCAAGGGCACTGGTGCTAGTACCGCTGTTTAAAATACATGGTTTCTTGAGGGAATTTTACATAATTTTGTCAAAATAATAAAAAATAACTTATTTATTGCCAAATAAAGCACAGAATATAATGTTGTATTTATTTCTAAATAAGTCTCACATGTCTTTATTGATAAATTATTTAATTTTATCTTTATAAAATGCAATTTAGGTCGGTAAGACCCATTTTGAAAAGATTTGTTAAATGGTGAAATTTGGTAAGTACAATTTTGTGTCTAAATTTTTTTGAATTATACCTAACTATAGTAGTGAAGAACAAAATAGAACACCGTTAACAGATTTTTTATTGTTATAATACAAGCATAAAGGGAGATTTGGGAATGTATATGATATGGCCGCATCCTTTAATTTCGTCTTTCCCCTTTTAAGTATCATCAGTAAAAAGAGTCTCATAATATTTGGAAATTTCTTCTATTAAGTGTAGAACAGCATCATCTCTAGAAAGTGCTTTATAGATCCTATATATGCTGCCACTGAACTAAGAGTTTAGGATCCTATAAAAAACATTTACAACGACAAAATTAGGATTCAACAAAAAAATAACAGTAGCAACTCTTTATCTAACATTAATAACATTAATAAAAAATCAAATTTTCTTTACTAGTAAGTTAAATTTAATGTATAATTATTTTTGTTTGTAAGTCAGGATCTTTGACTGTAAAATTTTATTTTATAGAAACTTATAATAAAATAAACTACACTTCGTGATACGTGTTGTGACTAGTTTACAATAAATATTATATTTAGACATAAAACAATTATTTTACTTACATTAGAAGCTTTAAAAAGACATTGAATTGTGTTTTTTTAGTTTTATATGTGTATTGTAAACTATTTTACAATATGGAACGAAGTAAATCTTGCTTTATTGTTTTTTGTCACTCATGTTACTTGTACTCAGATACTTTTTCACATTATTATAAATCTTTTCACCAATTTTTTAAAAAACCACATCATTTTACATTGAAAATGAACGTCAGTGACGTTCGACCTGCCAACTACTGTCAATTTAGCGAACTTTATAAAATGAAGGACAGAAATTTGATCATTGCCGATTCGCCTCCTTATATCTAGTCCAGAGATAACTAGTCTTCATTGTAAAACAGGGAGTAAAACTGATTTGATTTTTGACAATATTTTTCGTTAGTTCCATGTCAAAATTACAGAATTTTATTAAGGCGGTGTTTTATTATCTGAAGCTTATATGCTCTAAGACCTGAAGTGTTTTGTATGAAGACTAGAGTTTTTGTATAAAGACTAGAGCCTTTTGTTTGAGTTTTGTCTTACGGTATTTTGTCCTCGCGCTATTTGGTCCTCGCGCTATTTTGTCCTGCGCTATTTTGTTCTGCGCCATTTTATCATACGCCATTTTATCCTGCGCTGTTTTGTCATGGAGCCAGATTATAAAGATACAAAAAATATCTTTACAGAAAATATCTTTTTGGAAAAAGTTTTCGAGATTTTTGTTTGATACATTTACACCGAGTAAGTGGCTGTTACGTAGCCGACAGCTTTATCGTAGCTGGCAGTCAAAGTCACTGTTACCGATGGAACATGAATGGAACTGTTTATCGTCACGAACTTAACTGCTGTTTACTGTTTACCAGCGCCACTTTAGGAACAGCACTGTTAATTAGAACTCAACAGTGAATGATCGAGTGGGGAATCCTATCAGAATTAATTTTAAATTATGAAATTAAATTAAAAAGTCCCGGCCAACGGTGGGATTCGAACCTGGGACCTTTGGATCCGCAGGCAGAGACTCCACTGAGCCACCCACAACCCAAAAAAAATATTTATTACTAGATTTATTGCTTAATACATAAAAAAAATACGTTACATACGTACGATATGATTAGTAAATAATGTCGACGCTGGGCAATATTTTTTTCATCCGCGTTAATGGGATTAGCGGTATTTTATACAGGGTGACTAATTGATAAATATTTAATGTTCTGTAAAGGTATACCTACATATTTCTTTCAGTAGAACATAATTTCCTAATATTTCAGCTTTTAACTGAAATAGGCTTTTAAGGTACTATAGATGCTCCTTTTGTCGCCGGTTGTACTTTTTTATGGCCTTTTTAGTGAAATTATTAAAATATAAATATCTTTTAGTATTACACGAATATAAATAAAGACCAAATAGTATCTTCTTTTACAAGATAAGTAACTAACCCCTGTGTATATTTGTCGAATGCCAAAAGATGAAAAAATTGCAATTGATTAGCTTTTATCTGGAATAACAGGCAACAAAAAGTGTGTATTTCTTAAGTCAAATCCTGTATCTTATGGTTGATACACCAGTAAAGAAACACTATTACAGGACTAAAAATAAAGTGTAATTTATATTTTTTTTGACACATTCGATAAATTAACTATCAATATATTTATTAAATTACAGGGTCCATTAACTGAATAATTCTTTTTATATTTTGTAGTATCATTAGACATGATAAATATAGCAAGAATTTATTTTTAGTAAATATTTTCACCTTGTAGAACAATAAAAGTAAATATCAAAAACATGTACTTACTTATTTGTGGCTCACCCTATTAAGGAAAATAATTTTTGACCCCTTTTTATATTCGTAGAATGCCAAACGATGTTACAATAAAATTTGGCACAAAAGATTATAATCGATTAGCTTTTACTTGAAATAACCGTTATCAAATACGTGGTATTTCTTATGTTTAACACCTTGTATCTCAAAAACCAGAATGGTCCCATGGACACTATTAACAGGGCGCCACTTTTCCATAAGCGGTGTGCGGGGTCTTTTGGTAACATTTAAAAAATTATTTGAAATGACTTTGTTACAGCCAGGAGCGAATGAGCCCACCGGGAAACCGGGAGTTTTCACGATGCGCCGATCCTACATAATTTGTGGTAAACAAAATTCATATATTTCCATTTTTTCTGGACTGGCGCCATTTCAATTGTCTTCCTGCGCCAGTCCGAGGGATTCCATCCGCCCCTAGTTACAGCACAAGAAAGGTGGATGGGACAGTGAAAGGCATACGGATGTTTCTTTTAAAGAACACAAGTTGATTACAAGATAGAAGTTAATTAATTTGGGATACTTTATGAGTTGCATCTGGGCTACAAAATATTGTATGTAGTATATTAATAACTATTTGACAGAATGCAAAGAATTTTGAATTAAATAAACACTACTTACTTCTTCTACCAATGAAGCTAATTGATCAACAACTTTTGGTGATAGATCTCCTGGAATTACTGTATCACCGGGAGTTACTTTTGACACTGGAACAGGCCCTTTTTTAACAAAATACACACCTAAAAAATAACAGATAAATAATATCGTTGCCTCTCGAGCAAAATTTTACAAAATCTTTTAAAAGTACTGATTTTAAATTAACCTTTAGTTTTTAATTGTGGCAACGGAAATCCATTTGTAGCTATTAACTGCGCAGTTTGAGTCAAAATAATAACGAGAAGCACCGGTTGTGGTCGTTCTAAAAACTTTTTTACCACGGACTTGTGTTCTTCCGTATTCATCATACGACTCCATTTTTCCGGCTTCAATTTTAACGTTTTTTGTACGTAACTTCCCAGAAAATCCAACCTGTTGTCTATCTGCGGAGCTTGAGCCTCCATAGCTTTATCTGAAACAGCAACACTTTGTTTAATGTTTTGGGTATATAGATGGACCTCTACTCATTTGGGTCAAGACCTGTCTAATAAATGGAACACAGGAATTATAAATTTATAGTTTTATTTCATGTTTTTAAGTATATTAAACTTAGATGAATTATATTTTAAACCTTTTTAAGATTATTTTGGAGGGTGGCGCAGAATAATATTGTATTTAACGTAAATATTAGTTTTTTAGTAATAAAACCCCAACAATATTTATATTAAAATAAAATAATTGAAACATTTTATTTTCGGAAACAGTTACCGGGTTTTTAAAATCGCACCACCGCCCCACCCTGTAAAAATAATTTCATTTAAGTACTTATTTTTATGCATACATACATTAGTACTGAACTTATAATCAATGTTATTGGACATTGCTCAAATATATTTATAGATTTGAATTTACCGTAATTTCTGAATAATACCTTATGTTGTATGATTATGATTATTCGCAACAATTGTTATTTCTTTGTAACTATGATGTTTCATTTCTTTCTAGACTTTTGATTCCATGTAAAAAGCACATTAATGTATTCGCGTGATATTGTCCTATTTGCCTAATTTCCGCAAATGAATGACTTCCCCTTTACCTGCCACAAATCTTATTCCATTTTCAGTTCCTAATTAGTCCAATTAGCTTTTATGTTCAAGAATACAAAAAAAAATACAACAAAAAACGTAAGCATTAATTATTCTTAAATTAAAAAGGAATCTCAAAGTCTTTACAATTAAGTATAAATTTATTGGAAACTAGCTTCGGTCAGCTAGACCATTATCAGTCATTATAAAAATGGGATAGTTACAAAAAATTAAAAGTTAGAGATGAACAGCTCAGCTGGTCATCACATCAATAGTAAAAGTAAACAGATAATCCAAGTATGTTATTTTTTGTTGCATATTCCTTGTTTATTTAGTTTATTTAAATTTTTAGTCATCCAATATAATCTTGTGATTAGCTTTTTGTATACATTGTTTGGGCTATTGATAGAGACATACCTAATATACCAGTGTCAGTTTGTCTTACTATTCATGTGTGTTCTATGTAGGTTTTGCAACTGTTTCCCAGCGCCACTTCAAGAACAGCACTGTTAATTAAAACCCAACAGTAAATGGTCGAGTGGGGAATCCTACCTAGGCATTAGAATTAATATTTTATTTTTGTTTTTTAATTAAATAAAAATTCCTACCACTGGTGGGATACGATCCTGAGACCTTTCGATCTCAAAGTTGTCAAGATTGAGACAAATATATTTTAACAAATAGGATTTCCCTGTTATTTTATTCTCTCAACAAGGCCGGTTTTACCTAACATGAGGCCCTAGGCGCCCAACAATTTTGAGGTCCTTTGTTAGGCATCTATTTGATAATATTATTATTAAATAAACTATAGAGTTACCAGGGTATTTCGTGATATATTTTAAATCAAATTTCAGTCACAGCCAAGGAAAAAAATAATAATAAAATTTTTTAATACATTTAATTTGAATCTAATAATTATTAAAACGCAAAACATCTGCGTTATGAAAATTAACACGGTAATCTGTCAAAAAAAAAAAAGATTCCTGTCGCGAACGCACGATATTTATTTTTTCATTAAATTGAAAACCAATACTAGTATGAACTATTCACCAATAGGGCAATTCGTGATAATTTTATATTAGATTCTACATTCTATTCTGACATTCTGCAAGCAAAGCAAATAGGTACTTATTTTATTTATGCTATGTTATGTACGGGTCGCGAAATTTTGTTCGAAAATTTTTGGTCGAATCTTTTTGTTCGAAGTAATTTTGTTCGAAAGTTGTTTAGTTTGAAAACATTTTGTTCAAAAGTTATTTAGATCGAACATATTTTGTTCGAATATCTAATATGAAAAATATCCTCCATAGACAAATGTGAATTTCGAACATGGCTTTATAAAGCCGAAAGTGCTCGCTTATTTTTAATAATTATTTATACACACTATGGTATGTGTCTATTTTTTTAGCTCTATAAGTTAAATTTGTAGGAAAATAGGGCTTTCGATATAATGTACTTAAAAATTTCTCCGTTTGATCTGTTAAGTGTTTACTGAAATAAAACTAATGGATAAAATATGAATATTATTTTGTATTGAAATTTAATTTTTGTCAAAGTTGGTTTAAAAAATGTTTAGTAGTTCCAGGCCGCACAGGTTAGGTAAATTAGTTTTTTTAATTTTTGTCATTTTTTGTGAAAAACTATTGCAATGGTACTCGAGATGGCTCAAGGCCGTGCAGGTTTTGAAATTAGTTAATTTTCTTTATTTTATGTAAAGAATGTTTGCAAAGTAACCCGCGATATCTCCAAGCGAAGCAGGTTAGGTAAATTGGTTTAGTTTTTTTCTCATGTTATGTAAAAAAAAATGGAAAGCTACCCGCAATGGCTCCAGGCCGCGCTGGTTAGATAAATTAGTTGGGTTTTTATTACTTTAATCAAAATACTAGGAAAATATTTTTATTTTCATTAATATATTATATATTTAGATTCAACCATTTGAGATCAAGTAATGTTTTAAATCATGTTTTTCATAAAAAAATTTTCAATCAAAAGTCCGCATTGCATTTTTGAAACAATTAGATATTCGAAAAAAGTGATTACGATTAAAAAAAAAATCGAAGAAAATTACTTCTGACCGAAATGTTTTAGAGGTAATTTACTTTCGAACAAAATGTTTTCGAACAAAATTCCTTCGAACAAAAAGATTTGAACAAAATTCCGCGATCCGTTATGTACCACATAGTTTGTTACGAATTTTGTGATCAATTTGGACTTGGTTCGTTCAAGAATAGTCAAACGGTCGATTTGGACATTTAGCTACTATCGTTTAGAAAGTTGAGTCAAATTAGTCTAGTGCACTATTCTATAAATTAAAGTTTGTTTTAAAATAAATATTCTAAAATTTCTTGTCTTATTGACTTTATAGATCATTCATTGTATTGATTCTAAATAGGGCTGTGAATAGGTACATACTGAATTAAAAAGAAAAAAACAGCTAATAAAAATAAATGAGTAAAAAGTAAAACTAGACGAGACACGAGTAACAACGGCAAGCGAGGAACATCTAACATTATAAAATGTATGTAAGCCAATAACTGTAAAAAGCTTTAATTTGCAAATTCGTTGACGTTTACTTTCGTTGCCGTTCAGAAATTTTGGGCCAATGAGAATTACTCTAGATATATTTGGGCAACCGATCTAAGAAAACTAGTCTATTCCCGTGTAAAATCATCTGAACGCGCTCCTAGTCAGACTACTGATTATCTATTATAATAGATGATTCATAATTATCACGGTCAAAAACAACGGCTCTATTCATTAATTATAAAAACACGCCACGTTACATTTTTTTATTAAAAAACACGCTTAACGTGACATGGTGGAGGCGCCATTGATTATAAGCTAAACTCTTGGTATTTTAAGTATTTTTAGTAGGTCATTTCAAAGGTTACAGAATAGAATATATTTTTTTTTGTATTACATATAAGGATATATAATTTTTTACTTCGAAAACCCATGTATAAGAGATTAAACGCATTTTGGCTAATGTTCTTTTTACCTTATTTTTTTAAGAACATAATAGAATTTAAGAAGCTTCAGAAAAAGTATTTTAATTTTTAATTGTTTTTATAAATTAATTAATTTGGCAACAAAAAATTAAGGTAATCTATTTAAACGATTATTTAACCCAAGCTTGACCGCAATAGCCGTCACGCTTTGGATAAGAAAGCTAAAACTCTGATTGTGGAGGAAAACATTTGGTAACTCGAGGTGCTAAAGAAAGACACCTAAGATTAAAAATAGGGGAAGAGGTACCTTTCGAACCACCCCTTAGCAGTACGGTATTTGAAAGAACCTTCAAGGCACCCCGATCTCCAGAAAAAGAGCCTGTCTCTATGGACACTGATACAGCCCATCCCCCCCATCCCCCCCACCCCCACCCCCCCCCGATAAAGGACAACGAACAATCTCCTGAATCAAAGGAAGATTCTGAGGAATCTCCTGAATCAAAGGAAGATCCTGAGGAATTTGACAAGTCGGTAGCTAATTCACCGTCTCTGTCTAACAAACCTCCTAAAATTATTTACGTCTGCTTTCGAATCTTCCTCTATACTTTTAATGTATTTTTTAAACTCGGATCTAATTAGTGATTTTAATTTTTTTCTTATTTCCATGTATTGTTGCTTGTGAAAATCAGAAATATGTTTTAAGTGACTAAATTTGATTTTTTCCTTTATAAGTTGTAGTGTTTATGTAGCCTGAATATTGGTACACAATTAGAAAATATATTATTTAAAGTATTATAAAATTTATTTAATGCTTTATTGACATTGGTTTCCACACACACTTCACCTCAATCAGTATCCCTAATACACTCATATAAAAGATTAAAATTTGTCTTTTTAAAGTTATATGGAAATTTTTTGTTTTTATCAATCTCACAGTTACGTGATCTCTGACTTAGATTAATAGAAATTTCTAATGAAGGATGAAATAGATCTTCTTTTGTAAGAGGAAATTCGGCTCTATAAATATTACAATTATTTTCATGCAAACTAATTATTAAGTCCAAAGTTGTTCCCTGAAAGTTAACAATATTATTAAATAATTTAAACGAATTAAAATTTAAAAAATTATCGAGAGAGTCTTTCATTTAACACATTAACTGGTTGCAATCCACCTTTTATTTCAGGCAAGTTAAAATCGCCCATTATATAACTTTTGTTAACACAATCTATACTATCTTGTAAAAACCCAAAGCAGGATTCGTATACTTGACGAAAACTTTTTGGTGTAGTATTAACTAAAACACGCCAAATACAAATATTCAAAAAAATAAGAACCTCGGGCAATCGTAGAGGATATGCTCTATGGTCTCATCTTCTTGTTCACGCCCCCTGCAGAGAGCAAATTATTCCGCACGTGGCAAAAACCAGTCACAATCCCT